CCGCCTCCGGCCACCCCGCCGATAACGCGCCGCGACGAGGCGAGCCGAGGGGAAGTCAGTCGTCGTCGGTCGTCGGACATGTCGTCGGGTGTTTATTTTCGTTTTACGAGAACTTGTCCCCAATTTATTTATTTTTTTGCCGTTTATTTATGGTGTTGCAGTTCTCACCCTCGTCACACACAGAGTGAGGCGCGGACACCGACAAGTATGCGAGTGTAAGTGTGAGTGCTGGTGTGTGACCTCGGGGTGTGACGGTGCGCGAAGTATCGTCGAACGCGGAAATAATACAGAAAACCCAGAGTTTCGTCAGCCCGCGGCGTTGGCGACCTTCGCAGCCGAGGTTTGGTTGCGGGGTTTCCGAGCGCGAGGCAAGGAGGGCCGCCCAACGACGCACCCCCACCCCACACCACGCGCAGGGGGGAGCGGCGGCAGCGGGAGCAGCTGGAAGTGCGCATTTCACGGTTTTCATCGGCACGCCATTCCGCGCCGTTCAAACAACGATAACCCGGGCGATTCGCACACCAACGGCGGCGGCGGCGCGCGGCGGCCTCGGCGGGGGTCTGCGAGAGGTCCTCTGGAGGCCCCGCCCGGCCCCGCCCCGCCCCGCCCTGGAGGTCCTGGCGGAGGCCCTCATAACATTCAGCCCGTACCGCGGACGTGGGCTGCATGCCGAGTGCCCAAGAATTAAACAAGTCGGCCCCCGCGCCACAATTTTCTGCATGATTCTTTTGTTCCCCCCCGTTTCGTTGTCTTCCTGCGGAACGCGCGACATGGCCGCGCCACCGCGACAGCGCGAATCAAGTGAAAAAAAAAAGTGTAAACGGGAGGGGAGGGTCACGAGTAAAAAATATAACATTCACCCCCGAGAGACCATCCGATCCGACGTGGCTGAACCATGATCGGAAGATAGAATTCTTACATTACGGAAGGGAATGCGTCAAATGTTGTCCCCGGCTTTTTAAGATTGGAGGCACCGTTTTTTATTTTCCCCTCTTGCGCTCCGTCTCTTTCCACCCTGTAGTCGTATTCAATTTTTTCATTAGCTTTCTCGCTCTCCCCACCCACAACGCTCCCCGCCTCACCTACCAGACAGCTTAGTATTATTCTTATCCTCTCTTTTTATTATTCCTACAACGCGGACTGAGCAATCATTGCCCTCTTTTTTTTCTCGTTTTCCTTTCCCTTTCCAATCCCCGCTCCCCTCTCTCCCCCGCTGTTTAATTCTGCATTCCGGTATTGGTGTTGGTTATCATCCGTTTCCTCTCCGTTTGCAATTTTACACTTCCAGACACCCTTAATGAATATTAGAAGATTTTCACGCAATTTACCCCCCCCCCCTTAATTTGCGTTAACCTGCGTCAAAACTGAAAGTTTGGGCGCTAACATTTACATGGCATGGCATCGGCCACTGTGTGCGGGTGTGTGCTAGTCACGCCTACGAATGAGACACAAGATACACCCTAATCACTGCAGGAGGCTAGCATATTATACACTAATATCGTTGCATGTGCACTCACGTTGGCGGTGGTGACGGCGGCTAGGGAGCCTGCGCAGACGACGGACACGGCCTCACGACGTCGTGCTCCACGAGCGCCTTGGGCCGGACTGCACCGTCTCCTCCTGCCCGCCTGGGCGACACACACACACACATGTCAGGTCGTCACCTAATATGCAAGGCCATCAAGCGATAAGGCACCGCACGATGACGATGGCAACGCTGGGTCCTGGAAGGTGACCCCCCCCCCCCCCCCCCACACACACACCCGCGGGTGTACCAAAGAAAAGATATACCGACAGAAGCGGGGAAAGATGGCGGGTGACTTCACCTTCAGCGTCCTACCACCATAGTTACGAGAAAACATAACCCGGAGACCAAAACACTTGTTTTTCCTTCCGGTATCATTTTCCAGTAAAGCCGAGGGGCTGTCTTCCGCTGACTTTCAAATCATTCCGAACGTGGCGACGAGACGGGGAAAAAAACGTACAAACGAAGAGGGAGATAAAAAAAAAATTCGAATGCAAATCTCGTTTCACAAAGAAGGCTGGCCAACGTCAAAACCAATATTTGTACGACTGTTGTCGTCGCCGGCCCGGCCCCCTGTTATGTATTCAGGGGTTTCGGATTGTCTTAGATTACGAGATGCCGGCTGCCTACTTCCCAGGGGCTGAATTTCATATTATATTGGAGAGCCCTCTCTCCGGAGCGCAAATTAAAATACGAGAAGGAAGTGTCTTGGAATGGCATTAGACGAGGATCCCCTACCGCCGCCGGAGTCAGAAATGAGGAGTGGGCGGGAGCGACATTTTTGCGCTTCCGCGCTGGAAACCGGAACAAGAACGCAAATCACAGTGGAGCAGGCACTCAATATTACAAAACGGGACAAAAAGACAAGAAAACCGAGAAAACGCCCCACGCATCCGCCCGGTCCGCCACCTATTCTCGCCGAGAATTCTTCGAAAATATCTGAACAATAACACAGACACATAACCACCAGTGAAATTGAGGTAAACCTCCAGGCCACTTTGGGCTTTTCGGACACCCGGATAACTCGTGAAGCCAGCCGAACAAGTAGGACCTATAGGTCAAAGGGTAGATCCGTGCGTTACCTATAGGTACCCAGGAGTGTGTCTGGAAGAACAAGTAGAGCCCCGCGTCTGAGAGTACGGTAATACGACATACCACTCGGTCCTACACGAGGTCCTATCGTCTCGTTGGCCTGGTTGCTACCCGGGTAACCCGCGAGAGCCATATCGCAACCCCCCCCCCCTCCTCCTCCTTCTAGATGCACTTCTCGGCTCGCGCGCGCGAAGTGCTGCCTCAGCTTCATAGCCGCATCAAAGCTATCAAAGGCCCTCCCAGACCCCAGAGAGAGCGGGGGCACTGGCTGGTCAACTGCTTTTAGAGGACCGCAGATCGACACGAAAGGCGCCTCACGAAAACGACGGGAAGCGAAGGCGCAGAAAGGAGGAGGGGGTAAGACGCCGTGTTACACGTCACAACCAGAACGTCTCTTAGCCACAAAGACGGCAAAGAGGGCAGAAAAGAGCGGGCGGGCGGAAAGAGAAGTCTGATTCGGGCGGTGTTCGAACCTGCCGAAATAACATCACTTATCAGCCGTGCGCTCCAGTTATTACCCGCTCCTCTGACGAGGGATCAGAGCAATTAGAGGCGTAGGGCAGGAAATGTCAAGAAAATCACGGGCCGATGCAATGATAATTAGGTTATGACGAAGTTTGACCTGGGGGCGCCGCGTCGGCCGCGTCGACCCCTCGTCAGAAAACAAAGAGACGGATAAAAGGGATCCTGACCGATACAAAAAATAACATTTGTAAACAGCGTATGACTTACTCAGAGGGTTTTAAGGCTATCGTCTTAACAATTGGAGGATCCGCAGAATCAGAATCTGGAGAGAAAATGGAAACCAAACAACCATTAATCTTGCGCTCACCGCTCACACACACACACGGAACCTAAGCGCGCGCACGCATACTTACACCATCACACACGTGACCATTAGCAACACCTGCCAACATTCGGTAGAGCAACCGATCCCTATAAAAAATAAAAAATAATTAATAAGACGTTAAATAAAAGAAGGGGGAGGCAACAGAACATGGAAGAAGGGGGTGCCTAGAAATTCACCACGGGGACGTGCTAAATCAATCGGGGCGAGACAGACGTACCACCGGGACACGAAAGGGGTTGCCTTCGTTTCAAAACGAAAATGAATGCGTCGCGCAGAGGGGAGGAGGGGGAGGAGGGAGGAGAGAGCGGCGCGGGGCTGCTGGGCCCTGGTGGCGGTGACGCACTAAAACACCAGCAGCAAGCAGCAAATCGGCCCGGCCCCTAGCCCGACCCCAGATGGCAACCAACGAGAAAGCGATATGACGATGACGTCATGAAATAGTAATGCGCAAACGCTGCATATGATTAAACGCAATTATCGGCCCGTAAGGATAATTTTTTTATGACACGGCTGTCAAGGTTCGGGACGGGGGAGGGGAGGGGAGGAGGGGCAGCAGGAGGGTGGCCGAGAGGCAGCAGTGATCTGGCAGTGATAGTGATGGATAAATAAATATGTGAACGGTTGAAAGGTTGGCACCGTCCGTATTAAATGGTTAGTACCTTTCTTACACACTGAGCACAAAAAATATTGAGATTAGAAAAGTTTACCAAGCTTCTCTGAAATTACGCTTTACAGCAATTTTGACTTTAAGTTGCCATTTATTTTTCTTTCAAAACAATTCTAGAGCTCTCGAGTGTTAAAACTGCATGAGAGAGATGGGAGTTAACATTAAAACAAAATTACTCATTTACATTGCATAAACTTTCCCGAGTTTGGTTGAGCACGAAAACTGGTCTGTGCTGTTGTATCCAGGCATCCAGGTCCACACAACTTGGACTAATATTTACTGTCTTGATTTCTCACGCAAAAAAAAAAAAAAAAGGAAATTGGAGGAGATGAAGGGGATGCAGAACAACAGGTGAACAGTAAAAATAAAAAACAATGAAAATCAAAGCAGTATTGCAAGTCCCTTTTTAAAATCTCTCCGGATTATAAAATCTCACGATTTATCTAAATTATGTAGAGGGAGAGAATTCATTTTAGGATATGCTTCGTGTGAAAACTAAATAATTGTTGGTACCAAAGCAGATCCCAGCAGGAGAAGGATGTCAGATGTCAGTGCCATGCCATGTAGCAACGGTAGTACGGATTAGAATATGAAATTTTAAAAGTGAATCAGGGGGCATTGCATTGGTGATTTTACTCGAACATGTCATTGTCCCTTTGTAGTTTATTTCAGTGTCACAAAAATATGAAAGGGCGAGCCGAGGAGAGGTTAGTTACGTCGGTCTTTCGGGTGCCTGCATTTGAGGAAGGGTACGCGATTTTTGAGAACGATAAAAAAGTGTTCACTAAATCTGGCTTCGATCTCGGTACTCACCTCGCCAATGATGATTGTTGTCAATGAATCTAAATGCATCTAAAATGCTCACACACTTGCAAATCACACCAAATCCGGTTTGACACGGACTAACCAGCGCGGACCAGACCCAGCGTATGAGAAAGTTAGGGGTCACAAAAGGAGGCACAAGGAGCCATAAGAGTCACGTCATTAAGCATCTCTTTTCTGATCTGCGGCTGTATAGTTACCAATAGTCAGTTTTTGATTAAAGCAGAATAATGGACTGATCCAGCCAAGAAAACATCTGTATCAGATATCAATTAAGAACTCTGGTCCACAGTGCAGTAGCACATACCAACACCTACAACAGAGTGGTTCAGTTCACTGTCCTTTTTGAGAACAATGTCAAATAGCCTTCAGCTAGTCCCTTTCTCTAAAGTCCACCAAAAATGCAGTAGGTCAAAAA